CGAGTCATGTACTGAGGGTATGTTAACCCTTCGGGTACTCCGTACCCATGTGTGGAATACACCAGGTGTAAACCCGTGTAACCCCGTTACAACCTTCCCTGCGAGTGCGACGCAGAGGTGGCTATAAAGATCGGAGAGTCTCTTACCGACCGCAGAGCAGTTCACGGCTCGCGTCGCGCTATGGCGTTTTCGGTCGAAGAAGGCTACGCAGTACTTAAGGAGAAGCTACGACTCTTAGTGAAGGACGACTCGGCAGTGAATTGGCCTGATGGTGCTGGTATCTACATTAAAGCCACTGTGAACGCCCGACAGAGTGACTACCAGCGTCTACCTGAGAACGCAGGTGAATTCTCACGGCTGCTGCGGAAGGTGTGGGGAAGAAGGAAGAGTCCTAGCCAGCGACTGGCACTCTTCATGTACGTCAACCGAGTCAAGAAATCCAATTCAATTCATAGGGCAACGGCAGCCCGTATGGCCTAGGCCTCTCGCAATATAGCAGATACATTGCGAATTGAGAACCGTGAGGCCCCAGGACCAGCATCACTCGAGTACTGGGCAACTGTCCAAGCACGGCAGTCCGACGGTGCTCCAGTAATTCAACCAAACAACGAAACCTTCCGTCAGTTAAACTACATTGACGCTCGCGCTCGCCAACACCAACAAGAAGTGGCGGCGGCGTCAAGCGCAGCAAATACGGAGACGCGTCGTATTCACATTATGATTAACGGTGTTTCAGTACCCATCGACCTAAATATCCGGGAGGTCTGGGCAGCGTTGGGTTTACCCGGGTATGACCTTCGTCCTCCGTATCGCGAACGAGTTGTGCGTGCAGTTGCAGTGCCTGAAGATACAGCTGATATAGAAGACACGGCAAACGACTTCGACGACGACATAGAAGACGGCGGAGGGGACAATGATAGAAGTGAAGCTGTAGTTTGATTTAGTTAGTACTATCGGCTCTGTCGACGAATACATACCCAACTAAATCTGTTGAATATCCGCATTTTCGATACAAATTTTTACCTACAGAATCGTTAGAGCGAGTACACTCTCGTAAGGCAACCTCCAATACGGCTTCAGGGTTAGTTTGAAATGCCATGTTGGCGTGGTTGATAATCCACCGCTTCAGAAGAGAGAATATCACCTCTTTAGGATATAATTGTGGGCAATACGGAGGAAGAAAGAAGCTTAGAGCACCCGTTGAGTGTACCAACTTCTCTAGCTCATGATACATATGTATCTTTGCGTTATCAAGAACCACGATACTTCTAGGAAGAGGCCACCGATTCAACATTGGTGCAATCTTTTCACTAAAAGCCTTATGGAACTCTCTACGCGAAAAAGTTCCCCTCGTCATCTCCCAAGCAAAGAATCCTGTCGTATCCATTGCTGCCAGCACGGAGACTCGCCTCCCCCCGTCTAAATGGCAGTTCTACCACGGCAGGGGTACCCCTCGGCGACAACGCGTACCGACGCATACAGTCACGACCGGCTTTTGCTGTCTCGTCCAGGAAGACGAGCTGTTCTGGTCCAGCGTAAAACGGAAGTAGCTTATTGTAGTACACCGCAATTTCTGCTGGAGCAGCCTCCCTTGCCCGTTGGCTAAGCACCTTACGCGTGGGGTGAAGATCGAACCGGAGCGCTCTACAGATTGTAGCTTTAGAAGTGTTCCTCAGTGTAGGAAAGCGAGTCCTCAGTGCTGATAGTAGGTTTTTGATGTAGAAACACGGATGAGACTCTGCATATACACGGACAAATTGACACACGTTTAGGGGCCATCTTGACGTGCGATACTTTCGTCCCTTTCCTTCGACAGTGCCTCTATTCAGGAACCACCCGTACCACCTCTCTATGGACCTTTTCGATACACCGAGAATGCTTGCAACGTGAGCGACTCGACGTCGTAAACATGAACTAGTGATACCGCTCGCCAACGAAGATCACTTGACTTGGTCATGCTAGCCAAGGATGATATCACAGACTTGAACGATTTCGGACAACGAATGGCGGTTCGAGTGTCCGCCATTCGCTATTATCTGGGCCCAACCCGTCCATCTATCCCACAACTCGTCCTCGAAGTCGCTAACCCTTTCAAATATGTTATTCGTCGAGTGTCTAAGTCGTTATTCCAACTTTGATAAGTCGTCGAGATATGCAAGAGCTCCACCAAAATGCACGAAAGGTACAATAGGCTTCTGCTTGTACGCTGCTTGCGAACGTTCGTCGATCGAGTGCTCATTGGCAAAGTTTCCTACATATTACTCTAAGAATAGTTTTGGTCCCGAGTGGCATAAAATTTGTGCCACAACTAAATAATTTCTTTCAATTTTACACGTAAAAATTTAGGGGGATAGTCAAAACAAATCCGTTATTTAACGTTATATTAAACGTGTTTTTTAAACCGGTCGATGTGAACTCGTATAAGTAAACACAAGCTTGTTTTTGAAACTGATTCGGACTTGTTTAAGTTTACACAACCAAATTCTCTGGATATTTATATCCAGTCTTAGTGGCTTCGGAAACCCTCGGATATCCTGTATCATATTATATTTGGTTACTTTTGTAATAACTCAATACCTTGAATTGACAAAAGAAGAGCTAAAGCGACGAAATTCTTTATAACCTTTTAAGATCCGATCCAAAAACTGGTGAATGTTGACCCAGTCGGACAAGAACGACATTCCCGCAACCTCACCAATTGTGTTGTCGACTTCATTGATTTTGCGCGCGCTATTCGTTGCCTAAGTCGTTGTAGCTATTTATATAACTAGCTGACCAAAAAAAGGAC